TCAGAGCCCATAGACATGAGGCAGTTCCAGAGGAGGCCAAGCTTCAGTAGTTCCTGCTGCTACAGAACCACTTTTAGGTGGGTTTGTTACACTGAAAGGCAAACCATTATGTTTTTCACATATACACATGGCCACAAACTTGCATCCTTAATGGCTTGTGTGAAGAAGCCAAACAAAAACTGCATTAAAATGAGATCCCTATGAGAAGTGGGATAACGTTGTGGCCCCTGTGCCCAGTTTTAGTGAGCAGAACCCAGATGGACTTTTGCAGAGGGGGGTCCTCTGACATTAAATGTAGTGCAGAAAACCCCCACATGTGCAGGGTACATTGCAAGTTGAATTCTGCATCATGGATTCTGCTGAGGGCAGAACTGAATTCCAATATCTCCAACTCCCAAAATTCATTTGGCTCAGTTATCCTTTTGCCTAAAGACCCAGAGAAACCAAGAAATTCAGCTGCAATCCATGAAGTAATAAAGGGACATACATCTCTTCTCCTGTCTGCTTTAATGCCAGACTTCCTGGCATTCCTGCATTATTCAGAATCCTGATGCTGAGTGTCTTAGCAAGCAATTCCATTCCCTTATGGAAACTCGGTAAGAAAATACCCTGTGCAGCTGTTCCAGAGCTTGATGTGTTCTTAGAAGTCATTTTACTGGTACAGAGTATGCATTTGTCAGTACAACTGCATCTGTAGTAGGAGCATGTTGTCAGTTCAGAGCAGCAGTATGCCTGTATTTGGGAAATGTTGCTGGAGCTGAGTGCCCACAGGCCAGGACCTGGTCTTGTGCAGTGCCAGTTATCATGACATCCAGAGCCAGGATCAGCTTTCTCAGGCTCTGACAGAGTAAACTGGAATAAAGTGAAATGATGGACAGGATTCTGAACTTCAGCTTCACCAAACCCATTTTCACCTTGTTCTTCCCAAGTTTTCCCTAGCAAATTCCCAAAAGGACTGGCCAAATGTACTGTATTTTAATCTGTGCACACACAAGTCTCGTACTGGGCCGTGTCCTTCATTCATTTGTAAAAGCTTTTCATTTGTCTGGGTGCTCTGAACAGGAAGGAATTGAAATAACCAGCAGTTGAAACAGGAGTTAACCACAAACACCAACGTGCTGGGGTTTGCTTCTTGTCATAACCCAGTATCAGGGGGCAGGTATTGCTCCCTGGCATGACATACCTCTCCTGGGCCCCATCCATCTGTCCCTGTTTCTGATAAACAGGAGATGGCAGTCCCATGATAGAAGAACTACATGGAAAGCTTTCCCCCATAAAATAGCGACTGTTAAGGGCTGAGAGAAAAACCAACATTATTCCATACAAATAATTCCAGCAAAATCCATGCACAAAGCAATATGAAAGCATGCAGGCAGCTGGTGTGCAGGCCGCCATATCCAGCTCCATGCCACGTTTCCTGGGGAAGGAAAACCATTCCCAGTTTCATCGCCTAAGCAGCCACTGCCTGGTTTCCCAGCTGTCAGGAGACATGTATGATTGGCTGCTGTGCTCCCATCATACATCAGCACCTCCTACAGTGCTCCTGCTCAGCAGAGCTTATTTAGTTTAAAAACCAAGCAGAAAGGATAGCGCCAAGAGTGCTTGGTTACAGCTGCAGCCCCCACAGGTCCTGGAGGGAATGAGGGACCACAGAAGGATTTTCTCCTGGAAACAAGAGACTGCAGCCTCTTCCTCTCCTCCACATCAGTGGGGTTTGGTGCAGCAGCACATCCACTCTCGTAACAGATGCTATGGCAGTGGCTGTGCAGACACATGTACCCACCCAGCTGGGATTTGTCCATCCCTCCATGCCCCAGTATGTGTCAAAACCCTCCAGTCTCATTTTGCTCCATGAACCTCCTTTGCCCTTATGCACCTTTATCAAGACACTGGGATTGCGGCAGGCACTTCCCAGCATGTGGGGATTTGCTTAGGCACTGCCTTGCAAACTGTGGTAACATCCAGTACACCATCAAGTGGTGATGTAAAAACAACAAATAAAAGCTTCAAAGCAGTAGAAGTACAAACCATTTTCCACTGCAACTTTGACCTTACATTGTAACTACCTCCACTTTGGTGTAGGAAGGACCTAAGGAAACAGTATAACTTCTGTATGAGGAATGCAGCTCCTTGCTTTGAGATCCCACAGAAACCTGTAACTTTGATGGGCTTTTACATGCTTGTAATTGTTGGTCCATTTGCCAGAATACCTGGCACTGAAGAATAGCAAATCAGTGTAGCTGTGCTTGAAGGGGATTCCTGTTTCGGTCCACAGTTGAATTGGCTTGATTGGAATGATTATCCTTGGCATAAACATGAAAACCCACCCCATACAGCAGCCATAAAAGTCACCTCTGGGTTTACATCTAAAACCTTGCAGCTCTGCTGATAAAAGCAAGTCTGTCACTTAATGCAGGGCAAATATCCATCATTATTCTGAGCCAAAGAAATCCATTCTACTGCTAATACCAATAGTGGAATCATCTAAGCTGCTGGAATCTTTTCACAGTTCTGCCAGTACAGTGTGCCTTGGAAAAGGGAAATACCTTCAACAACAACTCTGTAGCTTAGTTTCCTCCAAGGAAAGCTGGAGATACCTGTTCAGAAAGGGGGTTGCTTTTATTCAGTACTTGACAAATCATGATTTATAGCATGAGAAGTAAAAGCTCTTTCAGTTGCTTTGGGTTTATTTTCTAGTGGCACAGAGGGGATTGATCAATGTCGTGCATTGATTGAGTGAATAAAAAGGAGTAAAACGGAATATTGTGGAGCCAAGGTATTAACACAACATAGGAACCTGCTGTGCTTTAAACTAGTTTGGTTCAATCTGTCCCAAAAGTCTTGGCTAAATCCATTTTGGTTTATCTCCGCTCAATTAGGACCAGATTGAAGCTGAAGAAAATCCCACCCACTGTTCAAGCCAAGACAACCCCATGCACACACAAACCGGTAAAAACCCACATGAACACAGACCCTCAGGCCTTATAAGCAGCATTTGAGGGCTGAAGCTATCATCTTCACCTTTGCAGTTCTTAATTCTTCTTTCTCCCCAAATCCAGAAGGAATACACCAGAAACAATGTAGCTCACCTGTGTCATTACTAAGGATTAAGGAGCAAAGAGTATAAATCATTTCTTAATGAGAAACTGAGGGGAATAGGGTGGGGGCATCATTAGGCAAACAAAGCAAAGGACCCAGCACAATAGATGCTAAGTAGCCCATTAGTCTCTGCTAAGTGCTGCTGCTTGAGCTTACAGCAGGAAAAGCAGTTTAGGAAAGAAAAAAAAGGGATTTAGCATGAACATATCCTTTCTATCTAAAGATGTGCTAAACTCTGTAGCAAGGCCTCTCAAATTAGTAAAGGGATAGAATTTACATAGAAAATACTCCGTGTTTTTGCCTTAGTCCCCACAAGAGTTGATCTGCTTTTAATGCAGATGCTCCCTGAGCCCGGGGTAATCCCAGTTTACAATGGGCTTGATGGGAGATGTTAAGCATATGGTTCTTTGAAAAACCTCTCTCCAGCCCATGGAGTGCAACAAATCAGTTAGCTCTTATTTTCTCTTGCACTGTTAAAAACAGTATCGAGCCCTTGACATATTTGACCCGGCTTTGCTGCCGCAGACATTTGTTAAAACTAATTTAACTATGTAGAAAATGCTGTGGCAGGGATGCAGAAAATCCCTTTCCCAATTATAGCCTTGCCGTGAGTGTCTGCTCAGTTTTTTGTCTGCCCCTTTGCCTCCTTTTTGTAACTGCTGTCTCAGCTCTCCAATTGTGGAATAGAGGAAGGTGAGGAAAAGGAGGGTATGGTGGCTCCAAGCAGCCACTAGTCCCACCAGAGAGCAACTAAGGCAGCGTTCCCAAACCCATTTAGCTTTGCTGTTCTGCTCTGATCAACTGTTTCTCCTTTTAATTCTTCAGAGTTACATGTGAGCCTCTTGACCCTTCTCTGGTTGATGGTATCAGGAAGGTTATTCCTCGGCTTTCTTATTTAATTTAAATCTTCATCCTGAAGCTGCCTCCTGGGGAGTTTCAATTGAAGCTGACAGGAGCTCTGTACATCCTGCAGAGTGAGCTTCGGTCTACTGTCAGGTCACATACTACTTTACCTTTCTACTTCAGAACATCCACAGTAGAGAATAGTCATGTCTTAGTAAAGGAAGGACTAGCTGATAAAACCACCTGGTCTCCGTTTATAATGTCTACTAAGCATAAAATAGATTTTCCCAACAGCACAAATGTGATGGGAGTTGGTCTCTGTTTCCCAGAACATCATTTTCGTCATTTGTCTCTGAACTGACGCTAGCTTTCATCATTATCTAGTATCAAAATGAGACATTTAACCACATTACAAACTCCATTCAACTACAGATTTTTCTAAGCCACCTGCAAACAACAGTTACTTTGTAAAGAGGAAACCAGTTTTGAGTGCTACCCGCATTCTTAAGTTTAAAGCCTAACTTTAAAACTAGCATCCCAGCTGCTGTGCTGTGCATCGGCGCAGTTACCAATAGATCCCAGTTCCCCTTTGCTCACCCTAACAAGGACAACACTTCTGAGTTCAAGTTTGACTTCTGGAAGCCTTAATTCACTATGTTTCAGTACTAAAAGAAGTATACGACACCAGCCTTGGTACTTTGGGGAAGCTTTTATTTTTAGGGTATTCTGTTTACATGCTTATATTCTTATTCCAAATTTGAGAGAAACTGGCCAAACAAAACTAAGTCACAGCTCTGGATCTGTGAAATCTCCAATTCAGACCCACGGAAGAATCAGGAGGTTACTCAAATACATCACCTTGCCCTTACAAACTTGGGTACTGGGATAGATATGTGCTTAGTATAAGCATTACAGCAGGATGTACTGCTCACTGGAATCAAGATGAAACATTCTGAAGTAAAATATACATAAAGCAGTGTCAAATACACATAGTGTAAGGGCATACAGTTGTTCACAATGTATATTAGTCCCGTTGACTTACAAGAGAAGCTTCTAAGCATCTTTATCAAGCACCATCACCAGGAAAGCTTTGGCATTTACTCATAAGATTTTTAAGCCTCGGCCCCTGCTCCTATTGGTAACCCCTGTGGAGTCCTTTTCCCATGCCTTCACAGTCTCATCATGCAGGTGTCCATGCTGTGAGGAGGCGTTGAAACGCTCCAGCAGGGAGCAGTAAGTATATTTTGACAACTTCTTTCTCTCAGTGTCCTGCCGTGAGGGGATGGCTGCATCTTAACAGGAGTCAAAGTAGGCAGGCTTTTCCTGCATGCACTCAGGAAACTCACTGGAGTCTGGTTTTGTTCTTCCCTTACCCTGTAACCCTTCATCAGCTGAAGTGTTCAGTTATGTGTAGATGAAGCAGAGTCTTCCTGGTGCTTTCCAGGCTGGCAAGTGTCCACAATGGATAACTCCACTGAGGCATGTCCCTGCCCCAAGCTGCTGAGAAGTGACACAGCTGCAGAAATCAAGTCCTCAGCCATGTCCCCTGGAGCATGGTGTGCGAGGACCAAAGGAGGGTGAAACTCATTCCTATTGTTCCTTGAGCAGGTACACCAGCCTCAGGACCTTGTCTTTTTCTATAGCATTAAAATAACACGTGTTAAAACCCAAGAACCTAAAAGAAGTTCTAACAGGTCATCTTCAGAACTGTAAAAAGCCCAAAACGATGCACTTCCTGATAGCATTAAACATTTTTAAGTCCTCATTTCAGTTCAAAAGAACTGTTTATAATAGTGAAATGGCATCCAGCTCATGGCTGCTGCTGTGTCATCTCAAACATGTGCTCCTGAGTACATTATTTGGTCACTCTGTGTTACCCCAAGAGGAGATGTATTAGCACCATGCCCATAGATTGTTCTTTTAAGGAAGGACGCTGGAGCCATTACTGCAGTGTGATCAGTGGCTATTCTGTGCATAGCACATGAAGGTTGCAAGAGTTGTCCACTGCCAGGTGGGGGACTTAGGAACTGAGCATCTTCAGGCAGCCCAAGAATGGGCAGGGATGGAGGAAGGGATGGAGCCAGAGTCATGCAGATGCTGCTGCTCTGAGGACCATTACTTGGTGAGCTTCTGGTGGCAGAACTGGAACTGGAGAGACGAGAGGGAAGATCAGGTTCGAGTAGCCAGGTCTGGCCAGGTGCAAGTCCACTTTGCTGCTCCTCATCCTGGGATTTTAAGCATTTGCAGCAGCAGATTCCAACGCAGGCTCCACCAACGATAAATGCCACAAATACGGACCCAACAAGAAGGAAGGGCAGGTACACAGGCACTGGAAATGTAAGAGTAACATTAGCCAAGCATTCACCCATGGGGTACTCTAGGTTCTGTTCTTCATTCCTTAACACGTGCATGCACCAGGGAGCAGAGTAATTTTACTCTCAGCTCTTGCTGCAGCAAGATTAGAAACTGGCATTTGCTACAACAGGTTTGTGTGAAAAAGCCTAAAGCCCAGAAGTTTGGACCAGACAGTCCTATAGCATCTGCTACTGATACCCAGGCAAGAGCTGTTCCAGTACTCAAATGCCCCAGCTACTGAACTAAGAACTTGTAGTGGAGTTTTACAGTTAAATAAGTACAGTACAGTTAAATAAGTTAAATACATTACTTAGAGGCATGCACATACTTTAACAGAACAGGTCAGCAACACATATGCTCTAGCAGGAACATAAACATCAGAGGTGCTAACAGATTACTTTGCTAGTAACTTAAAGGTTTTTCTGAGAGGGATAGAAAGGTATTTTGAGTGAAGCTCCAAGTTATTCCCTCTTCTAAAGAAGGGAATGAGTGACTGGCCCACACAGCACCAAGATGAGCACTGTGCCAGGGCTCCAGCCCTTTCTGCCCCAGTGGTCACAGCTTGGAGCTCTGAAGGGCAGAGAAAGAGAGGAAGGATCTGGCTGATGCCACCGGGGGAAGGGATGCTACGGGGGATGCGAAGAAGGAAGCACATCTGCCGGAGGCACAGCAGCTTACCTGGCACCGGAGGCCTGGGGCTGGGCTGCGGCGGGTCACCGGGGCATCGGGCCTGGTCCAGGCGCGCCTCTCTGGAGGAGCAGCAGTAGCGCAGGCTGCAGGTCCCGCAGCACAGCGTGGCCTCGGGTCCATCGTAGCGCTCGGGGCACTGGAAGCCGCGGTGCCAGCGCTGGGGGCTGCCAGCCCAGCCGTGGCAGAACTCCCCTGCCCGCCCCGAGCGGGAGCGCAGGGCCAGCAGCAGCAGCAGAGCACAGAGAGCCCCCCGGACCATGGTGGGTGCTCACCTCAGTCACTGCCCTGTCTTCTACTGCTAGCACGGTGCTCCCAGAGCATCAACTGCCCACCAAGGCCCTACCCAAGCTCCAGTTTCAGGATGTTTTATCTCTTGACCTGTGACCTGTCTCTAATCCCCTCTCTTTACAGCAACAAAGACCCACTAATTGAAACCCATTTGCAGCTACTCCACCTTCCTCATTTCTTTCCTTTATTCCTGCAGGGAGCAGCCGCCAGTTCCTGCTGGAGATGGCACATCTCTCACTGGCATTCCCACTAGCAGGGCACCCTTAAGCAAAGCTAAGGGGTGCGGGACATAGAATGCCCAGGGTTATCCTGGAATCAAAGCTTCATTCCTTCAAGAGCTTGTCAGTCCTGAAATGTCAGAGGTGGTAGGATGGGGCTGAGCTGGGGACAAGATGAGGGCAAGTAAAGATATAAAGTTTCCAGAGCAGAAAGAAAATACAGGGATAACCAGCTTCTAGTAGGCTCTAAAGTGTAATTGGTACAAACTGGTGTCAAGGTAATTTTTACCTTGCTTAACATGATAATTAATGAGATAGATACAAAAAAGGCTTTAATCTGGAAATGTAGGGAAAAATCACTTTTGAAAGCTTTAAGATGGTTCATTTCTGTGGTTGAAAACCAAGAGCCTGAAGATGTTAAAGCACCACTTCTGCTTTCCCTACACACAGTGAATCCATGAATTAACAGCATGTTTCAGGGGACAAAATGCCTATTTTAAGATCATGAGAAGGAAAAATCCTACAGTGTTCTAAAGGCCCCACAGCAGCACAGGAGTATAATGACCTCTTCATCTGTGAACTGAAAATAAACCCAGACTATCTGCAGTCTCTCTTAGTCCCCTTGCTCTACGAGCAGGATCCATGTCTGCAGCATGGTCGTTCTGTGCTTAACCGCAAGGAGGAAGAAAACTGTTGCTAAGTGAGCACTTGGAGAAGCAGGGAATTAGGGCAGCATCCTTTGGAGCAGTCAGCTGGTAATGTGTAGCACTGTTTGCAGCTTGAACACTCCAACACATGTTCTTGGATGTACACAGAAGCGGTTCCCACATAAAGTTTTAGGAGGGTTGCCACTGCTTGTAGAGGGAGGCTGCCCAAACATGGGAGTTTTGATCAACATTTGCACCAAGTTAGCTCCCTTCTGATGATTTGTAGGTTGAATATTAGATAGCAGCTCGCACCTTTATGCTTTAGTAACCATTTCATAGGTTCAGTTAAGTCACATTTCAATCTCCAAAGGCATCAGCACTCATCACCTTCGCCAGTCAGTCCCTTTCCACGCATCACTTTTTAACTGGCTTTTTGGCAAATTTAATTAGAGAGATCCTTGGATGCAGAAATGTCAAATGAAATCTCTGCTTGGAACTAGAGACCTTTCCAAATGCTGCTCAGCACAGTGAGAGATGCATTTTGCCCTCCTGTATTTCAGCTCTGCAAGGGTAAGGTTGGCTGACTGCGTGGGACCTGAGCTACAAAACACCAAGCAACCCCAATACCCTTTCAACCCAGCCAGAGGGGAGTGATGTGCTCACTTGGATTGGCCTCTCACTGCACTGAAGTCATACTAGAAACCCAAAGCTGTATTTGCCTTAAGGCAAATCTGAGTTTACTCATACATTCAAGGTCAGCACTATTAGGAAGGAGTAAAATCTAACTTTTATTGTTGGTTGTTATAGGAAAAGCAGCATCAGACAGACTTTGAGCTTAGCACTTTGTGCAGTTCATCATAATAAAATGTATCTCAGTAAAGATAAGGGGCTGCAATTATTTCCTCCTATCTTCCAAGTTAAAAGAGTACAAACCCACCTGCTAAGGCAGGTATTCAAATGCTAAGGAATGCCTTAGGTTGTTCATTGGTTACCACTGAAGGATGGCTGCCCTCACCTGATCTCTCTCTGCACATACACTGCTTTTAACAACATTAGTATTTGTCCTCACTTCCTCACTTAGAAGGATAAACCCTTGTGAGTTCCTATTCAGGATCTGTATATGTGTGTGTTGCAGGGGGTATTTGTTTCTCATGTTCAGTTTTGCCACAGTCTGTTCTGTGCTGTCATGTCCACTTCACTGCTGCAGGGGTAGATGAATGTACTTGTGTATAAAATATTGTATGTGCTTACAGAACTTGGTAACCCACTTCCAATTTGGACAGGTTAAAAAGAGCTACAGGGATATACTGGGATGCTGGTTGTGAGCTACAAGGCTAAATTGTGAGTAAGTTCCTGTTCTAGTCCCTTCTGTTCTGTTGGTTCATCCTTGTTCTGTGCCAGTTTGGGGGCAGTTTTAAACAAAAGTAATCCAGCCTGTTCTGCATGGGAGGACAGTGATGATGGTTTCCTGTTATTAACAGTCTTGTTACCTATTCTGAGTATCCCTGCAGCCAAAACAGCTTGAGCTTTGAATTTACAAGTTACCATGGAAATAGCCCTTAGAGAGGTCCTTTTATTTTTCCCCACTTAAGGGTTGTTTCTCTTATTTAGGGAAATGCACGTTCCCTCCTGTGAATCTTCTGGAGGCAGCAGGATGATGAAAAGTCCCTGTTATCCTAAGCAGAAAGCACAACATGGAAGCTTCCTGACTTGCAGCTGCTTTGCCTTCCCTGCAGCGCCATTGTTCAGTATTTTACAGTCTCCTATAACGTTAAAGGTTGAACTCTGCCACCAGATTGCAGGTATATTCTTATCGTTTCTTAATGCCAAGTGAACGTTTGATACAGAACAAGTCAAAAACTAACCCCTGTCTGCAACAGGAGCCTGCAGCCCCATGGTCACATCCTGTCAGGTGCTGATCAGTTCTCCTCTGATGCTGCCTGTACTGCTCCCCTCTGACATCAGGTTGGACACCACTATGCTGGGTGTTGGCACCAGCCAGAACTGGCCCTAGAGAAAATACAGGGGAATATGGAGGCACAACGAGAATTGTGCCCTGCGGTAACTGAGAACTTTGCATTGCATGAGTGTGGCTCTTGAGTGGAAGCTGCCTGTGAGAAATGATGCCAATATTCTCTGATGGATCACCAGGCACTCCATAGACCTCATTTTTACCAAGCTTGATGTGCATCAGCAATGCCCCTGCTTCCAGCAGCTACCTGCATGGCTGGGGGGGCCCTCTGCAACTTGTTATTCTTCTGCATGTTTCAGCACAGAAAGGTGGAGTGTGGATGTATGGTGCTGGCCAGAGCCTTGGAGAATGAAGGTTTCTGCTTAACCACTGAACATACACCAACCTTCTCCTCCCTTACCTCCCTGCTGCCTTTATGCACATTGAATGGTTAACACAAGAGGGAAGGAGCTAGCTGAGTATGAATGTTGAACATAGGGAGGATCTAACGTGAGGAAAGAGAGGATCAGACCTGTCTAAGGAAGGAAACTAGGAATGAGCTGGGAGGAGAGAGTAAGAGGCAGGGAACCAGGCTTGGGAGATTTGTGAAGTGAATGGGGAGCCTAGTGAGGAAAACTGAGTCAAGACACTGGAAGGCGAGTGCTGCTCTGGAGACCTGGGGCTGCTTGTGGTGTCAGAAAGAGAAAACCAACTGAGGCATCATGGAGCTCAATGTAAGCTCCAAAGCAACTGCTCCCCCTATGCAGGGATCCTGCACTTCTGCCTGGCTCCCCCTGTGCATCCATGCCCATATAGTCCCTCAGTGGAGGAGTTTAGGGGAAGAGGGAAGATGGGACAGGACAGAAGAGTCACGGTACAAGCCAAGACTCAGGGGAGGTTGATGACTGTGATTGGTGGTGGGAACCAGCCCAAGGCAGATGGGACGGAGCAGAGGAACCCACTGGCCTGAGACTAAGGCTTGCTAGGTAAATGTTGCTGGAGGTCTCTGAGCCCAAACCGTGAGCCTACTGGGACTGAAAACAGTGCTGTGCCATGCAGCTGGGCAGTTCTGGTCTCACTAACCTATTGAAGCCTGACTCTCTACCCATGTTAGTATAAGGCAGGGAGCTGTTCCTGGCACTCAGGCTGGTGCTAGCAAATGAGAGTCCCCCAGAGCAGCCTCCTCATTCTGGCTCTGTATCATGCAGAGAGGCAGCTCCCTACAGGCACTGCCTGCTAACAAGATCTGTCCTTTAACGAGAGTCCCTTTATTAGTCATTATGGCAGTATTGCCTTATTGTGTTCTTATTAAGGAAGCAAAGAATGCAGGGACACAGAAGGCAGTAATTCAGGTAGAGCCAGGAGGCCCATGTGCCAAGGTGATGGGTGAGCACACAGCCTTCTCTGCACATCATTACTGGATTAGTGAAGGGGTCTCATCCCTGAACCAGGGGGCATGCTGGGGTTACGTAACAAAATCCATGCTCTGCCACTGTAATGAGGAAGCTACAGGAGAAGCTAATCATGACTGGAGTCAAGGAAGCTGCAGTATCAACTGTCCTCTGAAGACAGAGATTTAAACCTTTTCTTTTATGATGTGGTACCAAGGTGTCCTTCTGGTACTGAGAAAATAGCTCTCTAACGTAAGCTTGCATGACTTCATCTGTTCTTTAAATGCTTTGGCCAGGTTTTAGGTAAGAACAGACTGCAGAATCAACAACATTAATATCTGTAAAAGTGCATGCTGCCTCTGCAGAAAAAAAACAGCAGTCCTGTGAGCCGTAAGAGACACAAACTCTGTGTGTTTTATATAGAAACAGTTACTGCCCGTTGGAAGCCTGTTGGTTGGGTTTAGTGCTGTGTGCTCAGTGTCCTGCTGCTGCAGGGCTTTACTTTATCAACATAAATGCAGACAATACTGATGTTAGAGCAGGCACTGTGGAGCATTAGGGATGGAGGGTGCTGGTTGGAGCAGAGAACACTCCAATTTCCTTCTTTTCTTTTCCTTCTGCATGAAAAAGAAGACAGCTCTGCCTTTGATCTCTATGTACCGTTACAATAGTTGCTGTGTCCCACATGACTCCTTTGTACTGTCTTGCCTGGTCACAAAAACCACAGCCTGTGTTTTATGTTCTCATTTCCCAGTTTGCCACCTCTTTAAAAACAAACCCAGGCATATTAAACCCAGTTGGTACTGTTCATCCTCCCAGCAAAGAGAGTGGGGCAGAGGGAGCTCACAGCAGTGGATGTAACACCCTTAGTCCCTTTTGGGGGCATTATTTTTTGACTGAACCAGCAGCTTCCAAGAGACTTCAGTAAAAATCCAGGTCTTGAATTTTCCTTGAGTTTGGCTTTGAGAGCCCCTTCCCTCCCTGTGATTGTCCTTT